GTCTATGCATGATTCAGTTGTGATGGCCATGGATCAGCTATGTATGTACCAGCTTTGTGCTTCTGCAGAATCAAGAAAGGTACGAGAATCGCGATGAAGAATGCTACAAACATGCCGACGACCACAATTTGTTGGATGCGGCGCGACTTGGTCGATGTGTCTGGCGGAGGGGAAACCTTCATAACCACCGATTCACCGGTTAAGAGTGCATTGGTCCCAGGTGATAAGAGCTCGTCGTTGATGTCGTCGAGTCGGCGGACGTCCATGGCACTCGAATGGGTTTTGCTCTCTAGCCGCGTGGGTGTCGACTTGAGAAAAACAAGCCAGCGTTGACTTTTCAACGACAAAACCGGAAGCAAATTAGCGTCTTAGCCCATGATTGGTCAAATATGGAGAAGCGTTTTTCGCGATCCCTGATTGGACCAGACACAGTCTCCATTCCTGAGTGGCGACATATTCATCGGAACTCTCGCATGGATTTGCCTGGAACCGTCCTCCCCCTGTGTGCGCAACACCGCTATGTAGATCCTGCAAGGGCTCCGTTCGTCCACGTGCGAGAAACGCGCACTCCGCAAATGTGTCGCGTGCCATCGAAGAAATATGTACTGTACCCCGCAAAGTGGCGGAGCGAGAGAAGTACAGGACTTGGGAACAACAATACCCGTTCCGCACTAGGTGGCCAAGGCAGGTCATTCGCACATCCCCTTTGGCACGTACCACTTCTATTTCGTGAAAGAGGTGAGATATCGAGAAGGTCTACTACGCTTTCCCTACCAACTCACCGCTCTTTCAATTGGCACTGGGTTCGATCCCGTCCTGGTCAAGGTTACAAACTGCATTTTTTCCCTTCTGTTGGCCAATCAATGGCGTCCTCTCTGGATTATCCATTTCACGGTATCCACGACAATTATAATCCTGGGTGCACTGTATCCATACAAATTACAACATTGTACATGCGACGGGTTTTTCTCAAGTTGCATGTCGCTGGGGCGATCCAACTGGCCAATCAAATCGATCGATTATGATGTCAAATTCAGCTTGCTTCGAGGACGAGCGAGCAATCAAGTACTAGTTGGCATGGTGGACAAGCGGTGGGTGCATCAAGGCGTCGTCATCGCGGCGCTCGTCGTGGTCTTTTGCGCGATCTGCATTCCATTCTTCGTTGGCCAGA